TTGAAACTTATTCGGGGAAGGGCGCCAACGGGACTGGAGCTAGCCCGGCTCTGGGGGTGGAATGCGTCGTCGCGGGGAGGGCGCTAGGGGTGGCGGAGCGGGTGGGAGGGGGGGAGGCGCTCATTCAGATGGGCGGTGAACCCTCCACCCCGCCCGCGCCCCTACAACCCGGGGCTCCCCACTTGGCTGCCTTATTGATTGCAGGGCCGCCGGCGCGGCGTTGTCACATCGGCGAAAAACCGTGGTATACCGAGGGTGAGAGACCCGACTCCAGCGAGTGATTCGGGCGATCCTAGCGGCCCTTTACTCAACTACTTTGAGCCGCATTCGTTGTGCTTCCTTAAAGGCCTGGATACGCGCTCAAATTTCTATCAATTTCCGATCAATTGGTGACTGGTGCACATACCATCTACCATCACATTTTTGCGGCCTGCAAAAATTTGACCGCCATTTTTGTCATAATTTTGACCGGAAATGAACGGAAATTTGAGCGCGTATCCAGGCCTGAAGGTGATTCGGCAAGCTCAAGTGGCATGGTCTAACTGGCATGCGATATATCGCATCGATTAGGTCAAAAATGTCGGCAGATTGTGAATTTTTCGAAAAAAATGACAGTAGCCCCTGCGTATGGGCCTAAGGAATCATTCTAAAACCAAAAATCGGCAAAATTCAGAGAAATGAAGGCAGAATAGTGTTTGGAAAAAAAACCTCGCATTCGATTCAGCTATCAATTTCTGTATCGAATGTAGGTTTTTCCGAGCACTATTCTGCTTGCTTTTCTCTGAATTTTGCCGATTTTTGGGTCTGGAATGATTCTTTAGGCTCATGCGTAGGGGCAATCGTCCGTTGTTTTGCTAATAATTCAAAATCTGCCGAGAGTTTTGACCTAATCGATGCGATATATCGCATGCCAGTTCGATCACGACCACTTGAGCTTGACGAATCACCTTAAACATCTCCTTTGTTTCGGAGGCCCCATGTGCCAAGATTTCATATGCGGGCAATTTATCCGTGGAATTCTACTAGAGATGCGCTAGAATTACTAGAGCTGGATTTACCTGCTTGCCCTCCATAGGCCGCCTGTATTTTGCCGCCCCCTTCTCATTCGTTTTGAAACATCAATAAAAACCATAAAGTGAACGTGCCGGAGGGGGAGGGGTGCATAAGACGCGTTTACTTACTCGTGTTGGATGCATTTTTTGCAAAAGCCTTGTCAACACTACTAGCAAAATTGCACGGAACTCTGCTCCTCCATTTATAAGAAATGAACCAAAACATTATAAAAGAACAAACATAAATGTATAATAATTTCAACCTCCGCCGCTGCGCCGCACTGATCGCACTGTGTTTGGCGCAATGCATGAAGTATTCCTGCAGTCTTGTAGGTGCTATACGTTTTACGCCAACCGCTCCTGACCGCACTGTGTTTGGCGCAATGCGTGAAGTATTCATGCAGCATTGTAGGCGCTATGCGTTTCACGCCGACCGCGGCTGCTGACCGCACTGTGTTTGACGCAATGCGTGAAGTATGCAGTCTTGTAGGCGCTAATATGTGTTACATGCCGACCGTCGCGCCGAGGGCTTGACCTTTTCATCTCAAGTCCTCGTAATCATTCCTCTCTGCGCTAAGCTCCAGGCCAAATTGCGTGTTTAGTTCCTCTCTTATCTCGACTAATCAAAGATGCTAATTAAAGATCTTGTATCACCGAAAAACGACAAAAGTAGAAACTACTATACTCTTAGGAAAGAGAGATTTTGTCCCCTTTTCTCATTGATAATTTTTTTTCTGAGTCCGATTGTTTTTACACCTACATTTAAAAAATTACAAAATTTGCCGCCATGGGCCACGCCCCATGAGGCCACCCCCTTAATCCGGCCCTGAGAATTACCCATATTATGATGGTACGTTCAGGGTCTCCTCAAACTTTCCGCAATCACAATGTGAACCATTTGAAGCTTCCTGAGGAAAGGGGTTGTTCAAGAAACCACTACGAGTACGCCCTATTCGAGGCAGGGGACGGCGGGTTAATTGTTGTAATTGATAGATAAAGCGACAGACAAGGAAAATATAGATATAGGGAGTATATAGCGATCCTATCGGTCAAAATGAGTGGTCTCTATCGACTAAGGGAAAAAATTATGGACTAACCGTACAGGGTCTGGCGTGGGTTGCCTCGCGTTAGTTAGTCTATTACTTACCTCCTTTTTCCGTTGCAACCACTCGCTCCCGCTTCCACCCATAGGATCCCTCCATATCTCTTTTGTCTCTTTCTGTTCTTTCTTTTCTGTCTTGGCTTTGTACATCAATTTTAGTAATCAGTCCGCAGTCCATAAGTGGACTACACTTTACGATAAAGACCCTTAATTTTCGGCTAATTTTATAGCAGCGACGTAGAAGGACCTCTCGGACCGAACAGCATCTACCCATGTCAATGTCGCAAAGATCATGCAACTCATTCTTTTCTTTTTTGGAAGCATTAAAAATCACTTACATCGTTCATTTCTCAGCCAAACTTTTCGGGACGAATGGGAAAAAATCCCAGGTGAATCTTAGAATACCTAGAGCGCAAGGTTCTCTACCAGCTGAACAGTGTAAGACAAAATCTTAGCAATATTGACATCGACCAATACAGTTTGCTCGAAAAGGTCCGGATATGTGCCATTACTTTTCCTATGGAGATTTCCTATCGCAGTGGCGTGGCGTGCTTTGCGATACATAGATTGATCTATCATTTGTACTACATTTTGCAATTTGGAACTATAAATTCTAGCCCGGTTTAAAATCTACGAAATTGGCGGGGCATAAATACGGCATTTTTTAGCATAAATACGTCCAGTTGAATTTTATGTCGTTTGTTGTTTCGCTCTTTTGCAGCTTTACCGTCGGAGGGCAAAAAATGAATGACGCTCGCAACAGTAACGCGTAAAAGCCGAGTTAAACCCTTTCGAGACTAAAACGCTTTGTTGCAACTTTTCGCACTCGAGAGGAGTTCGATTTTCATAAACGAAAAAGTGCAGATGGGGGGGGGGAGGGGGCTTTCAAACGCTCAGAATTTACGCGCATTCATGCCGAACTGAGTCGCTTCAAGACTATGGTCCTTATTCACAGTCTCTCCTTAAAGCGGCTCCATGTGGTTTACAACATGATAAAAGAAAAGGTTTAAGGGCGGTTTCACGATGAGTGAAATAGTTTGGTCACCGTAACAAGCAACATATTTTTTGGTCATATTTTTAGTAGGAATGATATTCACTCGAATTTTTCGCATCAATCTTCAAAGCGTTGAGTGTTATAACGCTTTACTTTTTACGCTTTTATTGCTTTACTTCTCAATTAATATTATATAAATTCCGAAAATGTGCTGTCTGTCACGCGATAAAAAGTCAGCGTAACAGCACATTTTCGGCCATTTATGTATTTAAATTGAAAAGTAAAGCGATAACTCTTTGAAAAATGTTATCACACGTAACCCTGAGTAGATTAATGAAAAAAAATTCGAGTGATTATCATTACTACTAAAAATAAGACCGAAAAATTTGTTGTCTGTTACGGCGACAAAACTATTCCGGTTATTGAGAAACCACCCTTAAGGAGATCCCTTACATAGCATCATAAGAATAACAATTTTAACAAATTCCGTGTAAGGATCAAGAGTATAACTTCAAAAAATACACCATCGTAAGCTATTACATTGATTTGCCTTCCTTCAAGTTAAAAATAATGGAGATCACATTTTGCTGGCCTTGATCCGCTCACGCCCTCAGCCTGACTCCATCATCAAGGTTGCAACAGCCTAGGCACCGGCAATTGTCAGGGAATTTTTTAAAGTCTGGGAAAACTGGAAATGTCGGAGAAAATGATGAAAATGTCAGGGAAAAATTGCGAAGACAACTTTATTTGATTTCAAGACCAGGTTTTGACGTCGCAAATAATTTTTTATTGCTTGCTCAACAATGTTTTATTGCTTCATCTGAAAGTGCTTACATAGAGCTGATTTCACAGTTCTTTTTATAATTTTTTTCTAATATGGGAAAAAGTATAAAAATAGACTCAAGAGTGAGCAAATACACCGTCTGACGTCATCTGGCGGCATTTCCTATTTAAATACATGTATCTCAGCAAATTAGATCATTTCGTCATATCTTCTCTGATAGTTGTTCAATTCATAAACCAAGGGTATCACCGTGTTTAGTTATCACTCAGTAGTTTCCACTTAAACACGAAATTCATCAAATTTCAGACACCTGCAAATTCTCTATCGTCAGGGAATTTGATCAAAATGTGACAGGGAAATGAGGGAAGTGCCACAGAATTTCATTTTCTTCATTCTGTGGCACACCAAGTGATCCGATATTAAATCCCTAGCAGGGAAGAAGAGAAATCCCTAGATTTCGCTAAAAATCTCTAAATCCCGCTCTCTGAATTCCATAGTCGAAGCTAAAATCGGATTGGATTTTGCAAAAAGGAACCCCTAGCATTGCAATGTTGCTAAGATTGTGCAACTTCTTTTGTCTTGGAGGAAAAACCCGATTATCCATTAATAGTTTCTATTTTACTCGCTAAAAACTGTAAATTTAAGACAGAAATTACCATCTAAATTTCATAGTTTTTCACGATTTCCGCAATTTCATTGCAAAAGATGAAGTTGCACAATCTTAGCATCATTGCAATGTTAGTGGTTCCTTTTTGCAAAATGCAATCCAACTGAGGTTAAAAAGTCGATTTTTGCTTACTTTACCTCACCAAAAAATCCCTAGATTCCTAGAAATTCGGGAAAATCCGTAGACATGGAATCACTGTGGGAACCCTGCATGACAGACCATGACTCCTTAAGGGTTGTACATGGCAATAGCGCCGCAGCGAAGGCGTCCCGCCGCGGATTCCTTTTCGGCCGGGGTTTTGGGGGACGAGCCGGCAACCGGGCGGTGCAGTGTCTCCGAGTTTTCCGAGTTTTCTCCCGGACGCCGCGAGTTGGGCGCTCGGCCGCGGCGCAGTCCTCAGTCCGCTCGCCGCCGCCCTCGCGAAGTGTCCGCGTCTCCTGTCCTCTTCGCCCACGCAACCCGCACGCCACACGCGTCCGGCCGGCGCCCTTTCCGCCCCGCTCCCCCTCCCCCTCACCCTCGCCCGAGTTTCACCCATGATCGGCACGTTTTGGAACCTTTGCAGAGCATGCCCCTCCATGCCCATCGACAAGGTGAGTCCAGACTCCAGAGCACGCATTCGGCCTCACTCAGGCTCAGGTGTGTCGCTAGATTAACTTGTTGATTCGCCCGGGGTCACGGCATCAGCCATCCTTTCGTTTCTGACCAGGATTCACCTCCCAATGTGATTTTTGGGGGTCTGGACCATTACTACATTGATATGAGCCCAAGATTTGGCGTGAAGATTGGCTGTCCTTTCCATATTACCGTCCAAGGAAAGAACCAAGTCACCAAGTCACCCCATGCTGAATTCTTCAATTTTTTCACTGAAAAATACTGTTGAATACAAGAAAACTTCAGTGTTCATCCATCTTTCGTATTTTAAGAATGACTGTGACCATTGAAAACTCATAATCAGAGTGTCTGCCGGTCCCCAAAAGTCCCCAATATCCCTGATTATCCCCGATTTTGGAAGGGTGTCCTCGATATCCCCGAAAGTCCCCAATTTTCTTGTTCAGGTCCCCAAAATATGACAAAAATCGTCCTTAACACCGACATTTTCAAATTTTTCCACCAACCGTGGCGGCGTGGTATAACCAGGAATAAAAAAATTGAAGTGTTGCTTGGTTTCCGGTATGTTTTCATTGGTTCAACATGACTTGTAAAATTAGTCGTAAAGAATACACCTTTTAACTCTCTAACTAGCTCCCTTTCTCTTACTATTTCGGGATGAAAGTCCCCGATTTTCCTGAAAAAACACCCCTAAAAGTCCCCGAAAGTCCCCAATTTTGGTTTTTCATAACTATTAATCATCCTGTGAATGTGATTTTTGGGGATCTGGACCATCACCACATCGATTCACATGTTAATTTATCCGGACTTATATCAAGAATGGCAGTCGTTACTTTTGGAAGGAACTCTCTCTAGGAGTAATATTTTGGGGTTTCACCCACCATTACTTAACGTAACTTGCTTCATGATTTGCTAGGAATCACAGCATGGATGAACGTCGACGGGGTGGGGAAGGACTCAATTTTAAGTGTGACTTTTTGAGGTCTCGGACACGATTGACCGTTCTAGAATCTGGATAGAACTCAGTAATTCAGTTCAAAGTGTAACATTTTAGAGTCTCATGCACTAGTTTATAGGTTAACTTGCTGATTTAGGGTTTGCGGCACGAGTGATCGTTATTGTTCCTAAGAAGGATTCACTAGATGATTTTTTAGGGGCTCCGACACGATCGAATAAATTATATCTTATTAATTTGCCAGGGGTTATAACAAGAATGACTGTCTTCGGTTCTCGAGAGAACCCATCTATAGGTGCAATATTTTGGGTTTCATCCTCCTTTCCTTAAGTTAATTGTTAACTGACTTTTACCGGCTCTGGACAGGCAACTCATTGCTGAGGTATGATTATGCGTGGTCTTTAGCCTCGCTGAAATTTTGGAATCTGAGGAGGGGAACCCACTTCTAGTTGCAATATTTTGGGGTCTCACACACCACCACAAATATTATTATCTTATTGATTTGTCAGGAGGTACAGCAAAAGTGACAGTCGTCGATTCTTATATAGAAGAGCTTATCTGTGGGTGCCGATTGGACTCTTTTTTAGATGTGACATCTTGAGATTTCACCGATCCTTACATAAATCTGGGTTCTATACATAGGCATGTTGAAACTTGCCGGTGAAAATTGTATGATAAAGATCAGGAATTTTTAAGGACTCCCAAAGTTTATCACTACTCATTTGACTGCGTTTTTCGTCTGTTTGCTTCGCTCATTTCCCGGATCTCTCGAATTTTCCGTAAGAAAAAAATTCTTCTAAATTTAGGGTCGCCAATCCCTCTAGGCGTTCGTAGAAAGTTTCAAAAACTTTGAAATTCTGCCATTCATACTTTGAAAAGTTTCCAGCGCCATCATGAGTTTTCAAGGCGTTAAACATTGGATCTGAAATTCAGGAATCTTCGAGATAATTTTGCTTTGCTTATTTTTTCTCCTTTCTCTAGTGCTCTAGTGCACCATAGAGTTTACCCTCTATATTGTTCATATTGCCGTGGATACATTAGTCTCAGAAAATAAGGACTGAAAAATAGAATTAAAAATTATTTGAATGTTTTTTTTTTTTTTTTTTTTTTTTTTTTTTTATAAATGCAAGAATAAGAAATTGTCAAATGTTGGTATCATAATGAGCTGTATTGCTCCATACTTTGTCGTGTAAAATTATTGTCGCAAGTGTTAAACCTGTGGAAAATGTGCTAAAATGTTGTGCGAAAAAAACAAGGAGAAGACATTTGTTTGCCAGGGGAATTATTCGGTTAGTTGGAAGGGTGTAACTTTATTGTGAATACGAAAACCTTACGACGAAAGTTTTGTGCTCTCCGCAGGAAACATACAAAAAATCACTTTAAAATGGCTTGCTCAAATATATAATTTCTGTCATATTTAGTGAAAGTTACATCATACAGACATTCATGAGGAACATGGAGTATTGTTTCTTTCCTTTTCAACATTTTCGTTCTAAAAAAAATTATGTGCAACACTACGTAAAAACCTAACCAAAACCAGATGTTTCATGCCAATACAGAAACTTAAAAACTGGAATGCGACGGAGCCAAGAGTGGGGCGAAGTGAGGTGGAGTTAAAGGAACGAGAGGTGAAGTAAGATGCATTACTTGGTTATGCGTTTTTCCAAGTGACAAATTGAGTCGGCTATTCGTAGGGATGATCTATGAAAGGTTAACATCGTCCCAGTTCCCCGTCTCATCTCTGATTCTGCTACAGCAGTGCAGTCTCAAACCCTTCTGGCATTGATCCTTCTCCGTGTTGCCAAACGGAGGAATTTTCCCCAGTCACTGCGTTGGAAATCGGGGGAAAATACGTCAAAACGGCAACACTGCACGTTTTATATCGACGATGCGGCATGGGGCAAAGAGCTAGTCATAACTTCACCCACAGCTTCAGATATAGAAAATTTTACCTTTCTAAAGCACACTCTCAATCGTACTGCGTTCAGTGGCGTGGCGTGAATGATCGATTATCGATATGTCTCCATTTGAAGCTGTAGTAAAAGATCGATTATTAAGGTGTTCGTTGCGAACACCTTGATAATCGATCCTTTTCAATAGATTTAAATGGCAGATCATTCGATCTTTCGCACCTCCGATTGCGACTTACCGAATCTCTTGCATATTAGTCATTAAATTATCTTGTTTTTCAAAAAAAAAAATAAATAAATAAATAAATAATAATAATAACCAACAGTCGAAATAAAATTAAAAAGCTGTAGTAGTCAAATCGGGTTTTCTGTCAATATTTCGAGGAGAATAGTCGATTTTAGATCAAAATTCTGAGATTTTACTGGATTTTGACCGAATCTTCAGCATACAGTAGACGTTCATCTCAAAATGGCTTGTAACTTCATAAAACATCGACTATATTTTAACATTTCTCGGTAAAGAAAATGTGAAATTTTTTGTGCCTTCAAATTTAAGACAAATCATACATCTTGATCAATTTGGCCACTTCACAACCTGATGTACACAGAAATTTTATCGGAAACGTGAAAAACTTAGAGGTTAAACGTTTAGGTTTTCAAAATGTGACTATTTTTCGAGGTATTAGACAATCCTAATTTGACTTTCAGGCTGTTATATACAATCATCACCGGAAAAGAAGTCGCTTGGATCTAGAGTCCAGACTCTTAATAACAATGACCAGAAAAAATACTCTTGATTCAATCTGATTTTTCCTTGAATCGAAGAGCCGAGCCTCTTGACTTAGGCGGATTTTTTTTTGATCCAAGGAAAAAGTCCGATTGAATCAAGAGTATTTTTTCTCGTCAATGTTTTTAAGAGTCTGGACTCTTTCTTGCAACTTTTTCTTTCAGTGAATGATTGTGTAAAATTACGATTATAACTTGCTTATCATGCAAATCTTTGTAGGATGCGTCGAGGTTGTGATGCCCACGTCGTTGCTCGAGAAGAGTAATTTTTCTCCGGTTACTTCGATTAGGTTTTCGACTCCACATTCCCCAGGGCTCGACAATGCGCCTTGATTCATCAATCCTTGTCCCTCGCCGCTTGGATCGGTGTTAAATAAAATAAGCTGGCAATTTTATTTGCACCGGGCCCCGTGCTCATTTTTTATTGACCGCGTCTGCCAACTCTTCGTGTCGCTAGACCGATCGATAAATCAATTTCTCCTTTATTTTCGCCAAACCTTATCATGGCGCTGAGGTTTCTCCCGTACCCCTTCTCCGTCGCTCTATGTTACTTTGTTTGTTTGTCTGTCGGTCTGTCAGGTGGCATACCTCAATAAATTTCCATTTGTCTTCGATCCCTTACAATTGCGGTTTCATTTCCCGGCTCGCTTTCCGCCGACAAACGGGTTGCAGTATCGAGGCGCGAATGATCGATTATCGATATTTCCCCATTTGAGGCTATCGTAAAGAATCGATTATTTAGGTGTTCGTTACGGACGCCCTGTCTATCGATCCTTTTCCATGGGTTTAAATGGCAAATCAATCGATATATCGCAAAGAACGCCACGCCACTGAGTGGTTGTTAGCTTTGCACGGAGTATTGATATTTAACAGAAAGAAGTGCCCGCCAGCGGAAAAAGGGACCTGTCGGCTGATTATTAGAATTGATAGACAAAGCGATGGACAAAGAACACAAATTGAAAATAAAGCGATCTTATTGGTGGAAGTAGGTGGTTGCAATGGATAGAGGAAATGAGTACACCGGATGTGTGTACAATGCACAGGGTTGCCACAGTCAGGGAAAACCGGGAAATGTCAGGGTATTTTAGAAAATCAGGGAGAACCGGGAAATGTCAGGGAAAATGACGAAAATGTCAGGGTAAATTTGTTAAATCACCTTCATTTGCTTTCTAGAATAGGTTTGAGATTTTGAACAAGAAATTTTGCCTGAGAATTACTTTTAATTATGCCTTCTTAACCATCCGTCACATCTTCAATCTTCAGGGAATTTCGGAAGAATGTGTCAGGGAAATCAGGGAAATGTCAGGGAATTCCATTTTCTAAATCCTGT